ACAGGCATGGCTCTCACTCCAGGAGTTTGGAGTGTCCATGGGGCCGCCTCTGCCAGTGAGAAGCAAGTGTGACCTCAAGGTGAGGCCCTTGACCCTCCAGCCTATTGAGTGGTTTCTAGTCTGTGGGTCTGTGACCCCCGCCTGGTGTTGACAGTCTTTGCCTCTGGGGCATGGGCATCTACACCAAGCACCTGTGCATCTGTGACTCCATGTGTACAGGCCACAGCGTGCATGTGTATAGATGTGGTTATGTGCATGAGTGTGGAATAGCAGATTTGCTCACCACGAAGTCCTGGTGTGTGTTTATGTTTATGAGAGGCCACCTGGTATCAGAGAGAGAACGAAGGATTTAGAATTCGAGGAGGTGGACTCAAGCCCCAACTCTATGCTTCCTGGCTGTGGGAGCCCAGGTGAGTCTCTCAACTGTTCAGAGACTCAATTTCCCACCACCAGCCTGTAGGATTCATAAGACTGTGGCTTTGAAGCTGGGCAAAGGGCATTCTGGACGCTCTGTGGCTGCGTACAGGTGACTGGTTGAATTTGTGCATATCTATGTATTGCTTATTTGTTCTGCAAACCTGAGAGCCCCGCCCAGGCGGTGTGGATACAGCTGGGAACCAGGCAGGTTCAGGTCCTCTCTCCTAACTTGGGGGTGGTGGTGGTGGTAGTGTGGCGGCGAATACACTTAATTAATTATTCCCTTGCCTTTGGTTTAAGAAAAATAACACGGTGTTATAAATCCACATAGATTTATGTGCATTAGAGTGTGTTTCTGTGACACACGAACGTGTTAGCCCATTCTGGCCCATGGACTGGGTGGCTTCAACCACAAACCTTTACTTCTTACGGTTCTGATATGCTGGAGGTCCAAGAACAAGGTGCCCCAGATTTGGTGTCTTGCGGGGGCTTCGTGGTTCCCTTACATGGTAGGAGGGGCCAGGGAGCCTGTTTCTTTCAGGAGGGCTTTGCTCTCATGACCTAATCACCTCCTAATACCATCTCATTGGGTGTGAGGATTTAATATATGAACTTGCAGCAGAGGGACACTAACATTCAGACCATGGCAATGAGCGTCTGTGAGTGTTGACGCTGGGCCCCAATGTGGGTGCCGTACACTCCCTCGGAGTAGCCAGCTGTTTGTTGAATATCTATTGTGCAGGGCAGCCCCGGTGGCTCAGCAGTTTGGCGCCACCTGCGGCCCAGGGCGTGATCCTGGAGTCCTGGGATCGAGTCCCACGTCGGGCTCCCTCCATGGAGCCTGCTTCTCTCTCTGCCTGTGTCTCTGCCTCTCTCTTTCTCTCTCTCTGTTGTCTCTCATGAATAAATAAATAAAATCTTAAAAAAAAGAATATCTATTGTGCAAAGCACAGGGGTGGATAAAGGCAGCCCCAGAGTATCTCTGTGAACTGGCGCCAGAGCGGTTACAGAGAAATGGAGCCAGAGGACTACATTAGAGAATGGTATACAGATGAGGTCAGTGCAGCATTTAGACAGCGCAACAAGAACAGCAGCACGCTTAGAAGTTGGCAAACTTCTTGCTCCCTGGTAAGTCAAGGTCAGCTCTGTGGGCTTTCTCTGGTGGGTGGCGGTTGTTTGTAACACGTCACCGGCCTGTATCACGTCTTATCAGAAGTCCTGTGATTTGCACATGGCTTGGGAGTTTCTGAGTAGGTTCGGACTTTGTTCCGAAGTCCATTTTCTGCCAAGGTCATAAACCGGTTTACAAGAATATCTGGGTTTCTGTACAGTAGGGGTTGGCTGCAGTGTTGGGGTTACTGGTCTGGACACACCTCCGGGACAGAGTGGAATTCCCCCGGAGGCTGAACGTGGGTGGACCCCCAGGCAGAGCAGGGGCATGAAACGTGGAAAAAAGAGGAAGGAAAGAGAACATCTTGCTTTGATGAATTCTAGATAGGCAGAATTTTACAATCAGAATGTCTGGAAAGATTTAATTTCAGCACATGTAGAATGTGGAGTGTGTGTGAAAACACAGTCCTCTTAGGGCTGAGAGATTTTAAGTCTGAGGACACTTTGGCCAAAGGGGGGCTCTTCTGGGGTGTCTCCCTGGGGGATGGGTGGACTTGGCCTCCTTGGCCAGCCACACTGTCTCAACTCCTGGGGCTGGCATTGGCCTTGGCCGATCTTTAGAGTGTGAAAGAGGAGGAGAGGTCTGAGAGGTAGGAGGAGGGTGGACTGAGCTGGGTCACGGCCGCCTAGAGAGGGAAGAGCGTATCAAATGCTGTAGCACCTTAGGGAAGGATGAGGTCCCTGGATTTGGAATTGGGAGGCCTCAGGAGATACCGGAGTCACTCTTCTCTGGGCAAACACTCAGAAAGGCCTCTCCCAGCCTCAGGTGCTGCTCTAAGCTGCTGTGTTCCATCGCCTCCCTCTGGGACCAGGGCATTGCTGCTTTGGAGAGAGGGTGGCCAAATCGAGGCAGTTTTCTTGAGAAAACATCAAGAAGGAAACCATCGCCCAGTGGAATTGTACTGATGCTGTGATTAGGAGTCTCAGCGTGTCCCCTGAATACAGGAGGAGGACACTGCGACCATCCGACCATCCGCGATGGTGGAAACCGTTCCCATGGCAATGACAGCTTTTAAACGGATTACTGCGCCTCTATCCCCATTAGCTGGGAAGGATGCTCCCACCCTCCCTCTGTGTTAAGCCGCCCTCCCCCCTCTCCGGAACAAGGAACAAGGGTGTTCTGTTGTGTTACTGTGGTTCCCTGGTTCGGTGGTTCAGTGGTTTTGTTAGCGAACTGCTTCTCGGCCAGCCCCATCCAATGTGCCCTGACCACAGGAATATATGGAAGAAGCAGAGAGAACCCTGACACCATTCAGTAAATATCTCTACCTTCAACCTAAATTAATCTTCTCTTAAGACCATGTGCTACTAAAGAGAGAGCAGCTCTCAGGGGAATAGAGCATTACTGTCACCACCACTTATGTGGTGCCCATTTGAAGAAGACCAGAGCATTCCCTCCAAGGGTACCACCTGCATCTTGTACATTATATCCCTAGCACCAAGCATAATTCCTGGTATTTAGTGGGTGCTTATTGAACATTTGTTGAAAGGCGTAAATGAAAAGAAAGAAAATATTTTCTTCTATGATTTCCTCTGCTCATCCCACCCCATACCACATTTCAAAAGCATGACCAGAAGGTGACCTCTGAGGCTTCTGAGAACATTACTTAATTTCCACATAAGGTACAGGCACGGAGAGCTAAAGTTTTCATATAACTCAGAAGTTCCGTTTAAGGAACACTAAACACCAAATAAAGACGACTTCCAAATTGCCAGCTTCCTCCCCAGCCCATTTTATCATTTTCTGCAAGGTTGTCCATGTGGATGCCCAGCAATGCTGCTGGTTCCCGCTGGCCTCTGGCCACCCTTCGAAGTCCCTCCTCCCCAGACCTGTGCATGAAGCAGGGAAGATATCCTGAATGCTACGGTCACCTCCAAATCTCTCTGTATTTCCCCATGCCTGTCCTCTCTCTCTTTATGTATTTTCCTCATATTCACATGGATCCCCACACATCTGAAATTACAATTATAGGTTGTTATTTGTGCCTCTAAGCTGGACATGTGATAGGGCACACTTTAATGAATTAGTTGGTAAATGCAGGAGATATGACGTAAATAGGTAATTCTTGAATAAGGAATATGCTAAATAATACTTAGTAAATGCATGATAAAGCTGTAATTACAAAGTAGCATAGGCAGTCTGTGTATCTAAACTACATAGGAATCTCCAGGGGCTCAGATTTGGGATTCAAGACCATATTTTATTTTAGCTTCCCCAAAGGGCAAAGGGTTTCTGAACAGCTTTGGAAGAATTGGGAAGCTACAGGACTTTCGGATTAAAGACACACAAATTAGGTGCACTGCTCATAGTCTGGCCTGATTAAAATGGTGCCCAGAAGGAGATGATTCTTTCTATCATCTTTTCTGTGGGCAGCTACTTCCTTCTGGATGGAGAAAGGAAGGGCTCCCGCTGCTCTAAGATGGGACTGGTCCAAATATGTGTCCTGTATGTTAACTACGCAGCCAAAGATACCTATGTATTGCACAGTCTCCTAAATGTTTGTGTTGTACATTTATTCATTTGTCGAATGAGTGCTTACTGAATGCTAGGCAGTCAGGATACAGGACCTGGCAGAACAGAGGGAAGGAAGAGAGATTCAGACAATAACAATGAAACATGTGGCTGCTGAGGGAAGAAGCAGGGAGACCAGTTGGGAGGCGATTGCAATAGCCCCAGTGAGCAGAGCTGGGCCTAGCTTACCCATGGGGTGGTGGAGAAGGAGAGGAGACAGGTGGGCGTCCAGATGTGCTTTACGGAACCAACAGTCTTTGCTGATGTGGGATTAAACCACATCAGATTAGATGTGGGGAGCAAGAGGAAGCCAGGAGTCAGGATGACTTCAAATTTTTGGCCCAAGCGATTGGAGGAGCAGAGTTGCCATTTACCGAGCTGTCTTGTGAGACAGACAGGCAGCTCTCAGGCATATTTCAGATGAAGACAGTGGTACATGAGCTGCCCAAAGCCCCAAGGGGCAGGACGTGGCCCCTGGCTCCAGTTATATTAGATTACTATTGCTGCTATAACAAAATACCACAAACTTGGAGGTTTGGGGGAAATGTGAATTAATCATCCTCCAGTTCTGGCAGTGAGAAGTCCACAAGCAGTCTCAAGGGCTAAAAGCAAGTTGCTGGCAAGGCCGTGTCCTTCTGGAGGCCCTGGGGTAGTTGCAGACCGGCTGTGACATCTGGGGCATGACCTCCTATGGTTTAGTTCCCTCCTCTGAAATATGAGGACAAAGATAGTCCTTCCTCCCAGGATGGTTGAGGAATTTAAATGAGACAATAGCATTGGGGGTTGATGGTCACTCACACGAATGGGCAAGGTGGGTCGGAGCATGGGTTGGCATGTTAGCCCACCTGCACATCTCTGGGAGGTATCCTGTAAGGGAGCTGTTTGTTTTGTTTGCAGTGCAATGGATCATCCACGGGGACCCAAGAAGCCTCTGTCGGGGAGGAGAGCCAGGTCTCTGGAGAGGTCACACAGCCCCAAGAAGGACTCAGAGTCATGGAACTGCAAGGGCCTTTCCCTGCCCATGTCCACTCCCCTCTCCAAGAGGGTGCTTCACCAGACAGCCAGCGATGGGACCAGATGTCCCCAGAGCCCAGCTCATGGCCATGGTGCCCTGAGCCTGGAGGAGACCAAGAAGTTTCTCTCCAGTGACCAGAGGCCTCCGCAGGACACCAAGAAGGACAAGGCCCAGAAGCGGGGCCAGCAGGGGTGGCTGAAGACCATCATAAACTTCTTTCTGAGGACAGGCCCTGAGGAGCCCAAAGACAAGGCCAGCCGGAAGGCAAAGGGGAAAGAAGGCCTCCCCAAGTCTGCAGAAACCCCGGAAGCACCAGGGGACACAGCTCCCAGGAAGAAAGCCCACGACAAGAAGGCCAGCCGCAAGAAACACAGTCACAAGAAACATGTTGCTGAAGAAACCAAGGGGGCCCAAGATCATGAGGCCGAAGGCCAAGAGACAGGGTTGCCCAACCTGGCTGCTACCCCATGCTCCAAGGAGGCTGACCGGAGCCCAGCACCCAAGGGTGAGCAGACCGTGCCTGGTAACCCCCTGCCCCACCCTCAAGGGCTATGGTCCTCTAAGCGGGCTCTTCAAACCTCTCAACAGAAGGGACATGGAAGGTGGGGCGACCATCAGGCACAGCTCCACTGTGAAATGTCTTCAAGGCAGAACAGCACCATGGCAGAAAGCCTGCGGTCAAACCCCATTTCCACCACTGTTTTCTTTTCATCCATAAAATGGGGGTAATAGTTGCTCTCCGCTGGGATAGCTGTGGCCCGGAGCTGGCCCATGGTCTGTACATGGTGGCTGTTGTTGTTAAGTACTCTAGTTGAAGGAGCAAAGACCAGGGAGAAACGGGAAGGCAAGGAGAGAGGTGAGGAGGGGAGCCTTGCCCCAGACATCGATCCATCTGTGTGGACCATGGGTGCGGCCAGAGACGTGGAAAGAGCCAGCTGCCCAGTGCCAGTCCCACACTTGGCTGTGTCAGGAATAAACTTGCTCTGTGACCTTGGGAAAGTTACGGCCCTTCTCTGGGACCTTTGATTCCTCATTTCTAAAACAAGGAAGCTGGTCCCCAAGGTGCCTTTCTTTTCTGACTCTTATGTCTGGAGTTGAATGCATTATAGACACCTGGAGGTAGAGCACTCAAAACTCACCATGGGGTTTTTGGGTTTTTTTTGAGATTTTATTTATTTATTTGTTTATTTAGAGAGCATACATGAGTGAAGGGAGGGGCAGAAGGAGAGAGAGAGAGAGAGAGAGAGAGAGAGAGAATCTCAAGCAGACTTCCCACTGAGCGTGCAGCCTGACACAGGACCCTGAGATCATGACCTGAGTCCAATCATGATGTGAGCCCAAACCAAGAGTCAGACACTCAACTGACTGAGCCACCCAGATGACCCCAAACTCACCATGTTTTTCATAAGGAGAAGGAATGCCTGGGTTGAAGCAGCCTGTTTTCAAATGGAAACCTTGGCAGGTTTCTGATTTTTTGTTTTTGGTTAAGCCTAGAGCTGGCTGCATCAGTGTCTGTCTCACTGCAAATTCTGTCATTTTATTGTGTTCGTGAGCAAAGTCAGAAGAACATCCCTGACACCCCCTGATCTCCCCCTCAACCCATACACTTATTTCCATCTTTCTTCCAGGTGGAGAAGGTTCTGATCTTCCCCAGTCCTTGTGCATTGAGGATGGGGGTCCTGGAGCAGAAGAAATTTCTCCTCAAGCCACAGGTCACCGGTGGGGAGAAGACCTCAAAAACACTGACAGTGAGTCAGAATCTACAGTGTCCTCTTTCTCTGCAGTGGGGGTGGCCGATACCCAATGATTATAATGGATTGTTCTGGATGACTGCTTGGACCTTGGATGGTCCTCTCAAGATCATGTACAGATCTTGTTCCTTCTGGGGCTTCTGGTCACATTTACTTATTTTAGAGTTTCACAGAAGGGAGTCTCAGGAATTAGAACGGCCACTGGCAAATGTTCCTGCCTTATGTGTTAATGAGCATGAGATTTGTTTTAGTCTTTTTCAATTTAGAGAAGGAGTATGGAATAGAAGAGTATAGATTGTATATACATTGTTAAATATATGGAAGAGTGGAAGAGTTCTGCAGATACTCATATATTCACAATTGTTGATGTAGGCCACCATTTGCTTCATAAATGTGTGTGTGTGTTTAATTTTGTTGCTGAGCCATTTTCAGTAAAATGATCCTTCATCCTTCAATACTTAAGCACATCTCTCCAAGAAATGAGTACAGTCTCATGCACAACCACAATACTGTTATTGCCCTTAATCAAATCAATAGTGAATGCTCTATGAATCTAATTCCCTATAATGAATGGGCACATTTTTTTTAATTTTTTTAATTTATTTATGATAGGCACACAGTGAGAGAGAGAGAGGCAGAGACACAGGCAGAGGGAGAAGCAGGCTCCATGCACCGGGAGCCCGACGTGGGATTCGATCCCGGGTCTCCAGGATCCCGCCCTGGGCCAAAGGCAGGCGCCAAACCGCCGCGCCACCCAGGGATCCCGAATGGGCACATTTTAAAAGATATAAAACATCTCTGCATCTGTCAAACAATAACTAAAAGGCATCTAGTTGGCTATTCTGCAGGTTGTTTATTTTACACGTAAATTGTTTTGTTTTTGTTTTTTTAAGATTTTATTTATTCATGAGAGACACAGAGAGAGGCAGAGACATAGGCAGAGGGAGAAGCAGGCTCCCCATGGGGAGCCTGATGTGGCACTCGATCCCAGGACCTGAGCCAAAGGCAGACGCTCAACCACTGAGCTACCCAGGTGCCCTGAGGATTGGTTTTTTCACATGAGAGGAAATTGGCTGGTTGACTGAGTCAAAATGTGCAGACAGCCCGGGGCTGGGGGAGTCTGGTTTACACCTTTCATGTAAACCGGTCAGGTGACAGCTAGCAGAAGCTTCTCTGAGCATACTGTCTTTGGGTCAGTTGATGAGGGTATCAAAGAAAACCATTTATGTTGTTTGTGGTTTCTCCGTAAAGACTTGGTGTGCTAGAGGTGTCCACCTGTCAGGCTGTCTGTGTTACATCTGCTGGAGTCTCTCCGTTCTCTACTTTAATTAGGCTGAGCCTCCACCATTTTCCCCACTGGAACTTTGCAGGTGGGAAGACTGGTATTAGGTTCCTAAATTATTTCCAAGCACAGTTCCTTAATGGCCTGATAGCCAACTGAGGGAAGTGGGACCGGGATTACAATTCACACTTCACAGAGAGATGAAGGCTCAGAGAGGTTAAGAGATTTACTCAAGGTCATACAGCTTGCCAAACCCAAAACAGGTACTTATAAATCTGTAAAGGCCAAAGGAAATAGGGGGTACAGGTTGAAGCTTGACCTGAGATTGCCTGCCTAAAATTGCATGCTTTGGCCTACTGTCCTTTCTTGTGGCTCTCCAGAGTCTCTCTAGAAGGATTAGTTCCTGGGACACAGTGCTTTTCCATACGTCTGTGGGCCATGGACCTGTTTTAAGAGCTCTGTCTCTCTCTCTTTTTTTTTTTTTTTTAGCTCTGTCTCTTAATACAGGACTAAGTTGATCCCAGAAGTCCAAGACAGTCATTAGAAAGGGGTCTCTGTGCAGATGGAAAGACTAACTGGGTGCATTCACTTTCTTCCAGAGGATACAATCATCAGGATGATAGTGGAATTTCTCCAAAGAGTGGGAGACCAGTGGGAGGAAGAGGTAAGGAGCAAAAGGCCTGTGTAAACCCCCATCGGCTTGACCTCAACCCTCCTCCTCCTGTCCCTACTCCCCTTCCCCCACTCCTCCTCTCCCTACTCCCCTCTCCTCCTCCTCCTCCATGCTCAAACCCTGTCTGCCCTTCCAGGCTTCAGTGCTCCCCGGCTCTGGGCTCTCTCACCTCCCTTACCTGGGGCCACCCCGAAGCACCTGGCTGCTCTTTGGTTGCTTCTCGAGGAGCTTTCCCTCTCCTCAAGGTCAGGGCCTGACTCAGTTTCCCTCATCTCTCCCACAGCAGGTTCAAGCTCCTCAGCTGGTGTTGGTGCCGCAGAACTCAGCGCCAGCTGTCAGGAAGAAATCCCAAGAGAAAAAGTCTAACTTCAAGAGAGCCTTTTCTCACAAGAAACATAGCTCGGAGGAGCCTAAGAGAGCGGGGCCTGGAGAGGTTTCCAGCCCAGAGTCCCGGCCACTCAAGAGGCCCAGCTTTCTGCCCCTGTGTGTGGGGGGCCATCAGCCCTCCACCTCTAGCAGCCCTGGTGAGCAGACTCAGAGTCACCATAGCAACACTGCAGCTGCTTCCAGTTCTGGAACCTTCTCCAGGGCTGGAATTGGCCGTTTGAAGGGCTGCCATCCCAGTTCTGACTTTTGTTCTGCTCCAAGCAGTGTGGGGAGGGCAGTGGGAGGAGAAAGATCACCTCCGCACGCGAGACCTCACTGCCCAGGCAATCCAGCTAAGCCCACAGCAGACACTGTTGGGGGATCCCTTAGCCATTCACATCTCTCCATCATCCAGCTTCTCTACCCTGGCAGGGGGTAGCATGTGCAGGAAGGAACTACGGCCTGGGAAGCAGGGCACCTGAACTCTGAGCTACACTTTCTACATCATTCGCCATCCCTGTGCCTGCCTCAGGCTCCTCACCTGTAAAATAAGACACTTCCGTACTGCATGTCTATACTCGACCAGTGTTCATAGACATATTGTTATCCCCATTTTATAGATGAGGGAACTGAGGCCTGAGGAGGTAAAACAATGTGTTTCAGGGTCACATGGCCCACCAGTGTTGGAAACTGAGCTAGAGAGAAAGGATCATCCTGGGTGGCGGGGAAGAAGAGCTTAGCCCAGCCGCTTGGCCTGGCTGGGGGAATTTAGATTTTAAAAAGGAGGGGCAATGCTTCACACCAAATATGAGCCCCAGTGGTAGAATTTCAGGTCACAGGGGCAGGTGTCCTCATGCAGGGGGTTTCTGGCCCTGCTGGGATAATTCACACCACGGAATCAGGCCTTTCTTCTCCAAGCCAAGATGCTGGAGGAGGGATGAGGTTATCAGGGGAAGGAGGAGAGGAGGGCAGAGCCCAGGAAAACCGGTTGTTAGGAAGTACAGCGGGATAAGGGAGGCAGGTCTGGGCCCGTGCACGGGAGCCTTGACCCTGACCCGCCGCTCACCTCTGCTGCATCAAGACCTTTGCACATTCAGCCACAGAGTGAACTTTGGAACCTCTGCTAACTTCTGCATGTGAGTCAACACCTTCACATTGATGAAACACACCCACCCTTTCTTCTTGCTTCTCAGGCTTGGAGGAACATAACATACAAGAGGCCGCATCCACAGACAGTGGGGGTCCAAGTCCCTTCGAGCTTTCCCCCCAAGCAGGAGGTCAGGAGCCAGAAGAGGACGTGCAGACCAACACAGCCTTGGAATTCAGTTAGTACCCTCTCCTCTTCTTAGAAGCCTTTTGGAAATTATCTGATCCGACCCTTCTACATGAAGAAGAGAAACTGACCCAGGGAGAGACAGTGATGTGGCCTTGACTTCCTCTGAGCACAGCTGGCAGGGGGCAGTGTGGCGTCCGGGGCACTCAGCATAGTTAATAAGCCACCGAGAGCTAATTAATGTTAGCTGCCCTTTGTTGTTATTGGTGTGGCCATGGAGCCCAGCTTGAGGACAGGGCCTCAGCAGAAGTCCAGAGGGTAGGACAGAGGCAGGGGCTCTGGGGGAGAAGTTCAACAGATGGCCGGCTGCCGGCATGCTTACTGTTTCCTTGCCATCGGCAGGGCCAAGGATGGGGTCGTACAATCACTGTCAGTTCTGTGCGTCTGGAGATGGTTTAAAGATCCCCTTCCCCCCCACACCCCTCCTGCCTTGTGCTCTTCACAGAAAATGTGCCTTGAAGGGGAATTGAGAAGGGCCCCTGTTCTAAGTAGAAGAGGAAGGCGGTGCTGGGCGAGGGGACCAGGCCTTTCCAAATGGCCTCGAGGCACCTTCTCCTGGAGGCAGGGGCTCCACATGTAACGTGGCACCTATAGGCGCTCACTGACCAACGAAGAAATGAACATATTCCCAGGGCACCAGCTCTGCCCTCAGGCCACTTCTGAGGAAGCTACCGGTGTCCTCAGGGCCCGGCCTGGGACACCGGACAAGGGCAAGCTCCTTAGCAGCCTGGAGACCTGTCAGATTCACCCAGGGAGCCACTTGGGCCTTAGGAAATGAGGACAGACCATAGATAAGCTTTTCTCTACCCTCGAGTGTAAGCCACCATTTTGTTCATTTTTAGAAGAATTCATCCAGAAGATCATTGCCCTACTCCCGGATGCAGAGGAGCAGTGGGGAGTGAAGGTGAGGCCGATGTTCCCAACCCTTGCTGGGGACACCCCCACCCCTGCCTGGCATAATAACTTCGCTGCCCCTCCCCCAATTCTCCATCTTTCCAGAGCCCACCTCCAAGCCTTCCGCCTTCCTGAAGCCAGCTTCCCCGACCCCCATGGCTTCAGGCCACACTCGCGCTGGCCAGGCTGCACCCACACCCTCTGGTCTACACGGGGTCTCCATGTGTTTCAGGGGGGGCTGGTCTCTTTCCCCAGCTTGCTTGCAATCTCCTCAAGGTCGGGGGCCCTGCCTCAGTTTCTCTCATCTCCCCCACAGCAGCTTCAAGTCCAGGAACCAGAGGTGGCTGTAGAAAACCTGTCCCTACCCTACAGAAGGAAATCCCACGAGAAAAAGAGCAGCTTCAGAAAAGCCTTTTCTCATAAGAAACATGGCTCCAAGGACCAGAAGAGAGCTGGGGCTGCAGGTGCCACCAGCCCAGAGTCCCGGCCGCACAAGAGGCCCAGCTTTCTGCCCCTGTGTGTGGGAGGCCATCAGCCCTCCACCTCCAGCAGCCTTGGTGAGCAGCCCCAGCATCACCATGGCAACAGAGGCTGCCTCTGGCCCCGGGCTTCCTTCAGAGCAGACTAGGCCAGCTGTGTGACCTCTGCTTCAAGCTTGATTCCACTCTCTGGCTCTCTGCTCCAATGAGGTGGGGACGTGTGGGAGGGCTGTCGAGAGAGGGGGTGCTGATTGCCAGCTGGACCCACCACCCATGATGCAAGCCTTCCCTTCCCCCACCCACAAACACACAAATACTTAAAATCAAATGCAGTCGGAGAGCAGTGCATGGGTTGATCAGCTGGGTGCATCTGACTCACCCGAAAGCTAATAGAAAACCACAGAGACCTGGGTGTGATGAAGTAGGATATGGCCAGGGCCTCTGCTTTTTTACTCCTCCGAAGCATGAGGTATACAGTGATTCCCTTGACATGTATGGAGGGCCCACTACATGCTACTGTCCCACATGTTATCTCACTTAAACCACTTACAACCGGTGAAGTCAGTCTTGGTATTTCCATTTGACAGATGGAGAAAGTGAGGTTCACACAGGGGAAGTGACTCGGAAAAGCCTCACAGAGCAAAGGGGATGTGGGCTCATCTGGTGGGATCTGTGGACAGGCCTGCTCTGTTTCCTCCTGCATTGTGAGGAGGGAGGCAGAGGGGGCTGGTGGCAGAAAATAAGAATATTTCTGGAGGGGGTAGAGAAGGCACTGTGAATGCCTTTGAGGTGGGCGCTGGAGGTCTGGGGGCTCCCTGAGGAACCCAGGGAAGCAGGACCCCTCTGGGGCCAGTGCCTTTGGACAGCTTCTTGTCAGAACCTGGACCTGGATATGCTTGTGGATTTGAGACAGGTGCAAAACATGCTCACACCATCTCCCTTCTGCCCTCAGATCTGGACGGCGTCGAGTTCCAGGAGTCCTTGCCCACCGAAGGGACACCTGTTGGGCCCTCAGATGCACCCTCCCAGACCAGAGGCCATAAGCCAGAGGAGGGACCACAGCCAGATGAAGTGTTTGAATCCAGTTAGTACCACCCTATTCTCTCCCGGGGCGGCTGCTGTGGGGCTTCTGTTTGCGTGGGTCTCAGAGGGTGACTTCGAGTAGGGTCTGGGAGGGCTACTGACAAACACCCCAGGAGACTCTAGCAGGCTGGGGAGGAGGCAGCCTTGGCCTTTCAATTGGGGCTCTTGGGGCCGAGTTGTAGGTGAGGTAGAGAACACCTGTCTTTCTGTGGGATGTAAATTCACCCATCCTGCTCCACTGGTTTGCTCGAATGTTTCATATAAAATTCCCGGCTTGCTCTGGGTCTCATAACCAGTGGTGTTCTGGCAAACAGAATGAGGGTGGGTGTGGTGGGGGAGCCCTGTTATGTAGCTTTTGCAGATTTCCGTGGTGTAAGCGTCTCTCCACCATGGCTGATTTCAAGCTGCCAACTGTTGATGATGAAAGGTCTGCAAATATTCAGAATATTTGCGATTGGGTCTTGGTAGGATCAGACAAACGCATATGGCCATTTACAGCCCCGCCTGGTGGACGCAATCTTGTTACATCCATGGCTGTGGCGTCTCCCCATCCCTGCTTTCTAATTAGCTGCTCCTGGTCCCAACTCCCATTCGTGACCATGCTACTCTATAGCCTGGATAGGAGACATTGGGTGATCTCAGTTTTCCACATTTGCAAAAATGGAGCTGAGGTGAGGCTCGACTGGCCAAAGTCTTTTCAATTCCTATAAAGCAAACTCAAATAAAGCTCTCATGCTCCAGCCCTAGTTTTGGAGAAGATTTTTCTTTGCCCTTCAAAACTCATCTGTGTACTGTGTTTTAGAGACAAAATACCGTCTGTAGTGGGAGGGTGTGTTGTTGCAGAACTTGTCAATGGCCTCTGAATCGTTCTTTATTTTCTGTAGAGGAGGTGATCATTCAGAGGCTGGCGGACCTTCTCCAGGAAGTGGATGGCCAGTTAGGGGAGCAGGTAAGGACTACTCAGTACCCCCAAGGCTGGCCCCGGGGGCCTCATCAACCCACAACTCAGGCCTGAATTCAATCCCCATCTCTACATCCAGGTGACCTTGGGCATGTCCCTTAAACTCTCTGAGTCTTGGTTTTCTCTTTTGCAAAATGGGGGGTATATACCTACTTGACAAAGTTTAGTGCATATATAGAAAATGCCAGTCACATAGCAGATGAGATAAATGTTAGCTTAATATAATGTCTATGCAGCTCACCCCACCCTCCAGGACCTCCCCGATCCAAATCCCCCTTGAAGTTCAACTCATGTTCACACCTCCCTTGAAGCCTCTTTCCCTGGGCCTGCCAGTCCCATTGATCTTGTCCTCTACTAGCTTTCTTTTCACTCTGTGTTGGCACATATTTCAGCACCTTTATGATCAGCAGTTGTCTCAAGCTTTTAGATTTTGCCTCTCCTGCCAAAGAGCCAATAACAGAAAGTTCTCTTGTTGAAAATCTCACAGTCTACTTGGAGAAACAAACACAGATCACATATGAAGCAACAGATATGAACCCAGGTCACAGATAAGTCATGAGCATAGGGACACTGTGAGTGCCTCACCTTACCATCGCAGTGGTCACTGGCCCAGCTCCCCACTGCCAGTACCTGCATCCTTTTGCCTGAGGACTGGCCCCTAGAATCCTTTTACCATCCACACAGTAGGCCAGAATGATCACCCCCCACCTTCTAGGAGCAGCCCATGGCTTCTGGGAGCTGGTGTATACATACTTTAGCTCCCTTGCCCCTTGAGGGGATAACTCTGAGGAGTGTGCTCTATGTTGACTCCTGGAGTGGCCAGCGAGGACCAGGCTCAGTAGCTAACCTCTGTGGACCTTCTTCCCATCCTTGTCCTGGATCTTCATCCTCCGTTGGTGTTTTGCAGCATCACTGACCACATAAACCAACTGCACTTAAGCCCTTGTCTCTGGGGGGAACCCAACCTAGGACATTTAGGTATTAAGAGGAAGCGACTTAGAGTGGGAACTTAAATCCTTCCAACATCTACTCTGCATGAAACATTTTACATAAACCATCTCACTTAATCCCCTTCCCCCGAACAACGCTGAGTGTGGGTGGGGGTATTATTACTGCCATTTTACCCACAACTGAACTGAGGCTCAGAGAAGTCACACAGCTAGTAAATGCTACTTAAGCATCTGTTATACAAAGACCTGCACGTTCTCCCCCCACCCCCCATGTTGTTCTGCTGCTTGGAGTTGAATCTTGCGGAACAGATTCTGAGAGGCTGGGGGTGGTGGAAGCATTTAACAAGGGAGCTCATCCTAGGGGCAGGAAGGTGTCCAGCCTGGGTGCACGCAGTTGGGGCCAGGGGCAGCTGGTGGGAGGGGGCTACTCGCCAGCGGCACTGATGGCCTGTCTTCATCTCTGCTTCCAGATCAAGCGACACCCCAGCTTTAAGAGGTTTTTATACAGGCTCTCAGACTCCTCCCTCAGGAAGCTGGCAGCCACCCTACACAGCCAGCAGGCCCACTCTACGGAGTCGGACAGGAAGCTAATTAAGGGACCCTACCACTTTGCCTTTGGCTTGCCTAACAAATTTGCTGGCAACAACAGCCACGCCGTCCTCAGCCTCATGGGCCTGCGCTACAGCCAACACAGCTACTCCCACTTCCCCTGTCGGCAGGCCCAGCAGGTGAGAACAAGCGACACCCAGCTCAAGATCCCAACAGGACTGGCATACTGTCCTCTCCCCTCCTCTGCTGAGTTCTTGACTTTTGGGGTCTAGCTCAAATGCCACCTTCTTACTAAGGCCTTGTGAGATGATTCTAACCCACGTGATCTATTTTTTTCCCCCAAACCCTCACTGGCTTTACTTTATTTGATCATTAGAATCTTCTTTATTTGGCTCCAGCCCCTAATTGTATGTGCATTTCCATACTTTTTGATTTGGATGTGGAATATTGGACCTGGTGCTAGGGTGCTTAGCTTGCCTTTCTTATTATTTCATGGGTTGTGCTGTTTGGCTTCCCAAATTCAAGACTGTCATAAAATTCGAATGACAAAGCAGAGTAAGATTCCATATCAAGTGAAGTAAGTGGTTGAGGTAGATGAGGAGGATCCATGGCTGTTGGATCTGGAAGGCTTCTAGGGGGCAGTGATCCTTCACTGACCTTGTCTTGGTTGATTGATTAAAAGTAGCTTCTCCCTATCATCGAGCTCACTCTTCTGATTGGTTTCGTGTTTTTCCTAATAACCTGGCCCCTGCCCCTAAGGCTCTGAGGTGGTCCCTTTAGAAATAATACTCCTCATTAATTTTTTTAAAGTCTGAGTTTTCATGTTGTCTGGTGGACTCTGATAAACAGTGTTCCCCACTTTTTTCAAAATCACTTAAGATAACCTGCCTATAGGCCTTTTGACCTAGATCTTTAGTGCAGAATCTACTGAATGAAGGGGTGACATTACAGGAAGGAAGTGTTCCCCAGGGTGCCTCGGTGGCTCAGTTGGTAAAGCGTCTGCCTTTGGCTCAGGCCAAAATCCTGGGGTCCTGGGATTGAGCCCCCTGTCAGGCTCCCCGCTCAACAGGGAGTCTGCTTATCTCTCTCCTCCTGCTCATGCTCTCTCTCTCTTATAAATAAATAAATAAATAAATAAATAAATAAATAAATAAATAAATAAATATCTTAAAAAAAAAAAGGGCAGCCCTGGTAGCGCAGCAGTTTAGCGCCCCCTGCAGCCCACGGCCTGATCCTGGAGACCCGGGATCCAGTCTGACGCTGGGCTCCTTGCATGGAGCCTGCTTCTCCCTCTGCCTGTGTCCTTGCCTCTCTGTGTGTGTGTGTGTGTGTGTGTGTGTCTCTCATAAATAAATAAATAAATAAATAAATAAATAAATAAATAAATAAATAAATAAATAAATAAATAAATCTTAAAAAGAAATAAAGGGAGGAAGGATTCTGTCTGTTGGCATTGGCCAAACAGGACTTCTACATCCAAACGGTCCTTAGATCTTTAGTACAATGATGTCACCATTATGGAAACACCCAGTCTTTCCTGGAATTACCTTTCAAAGTCATATGATAAGTTTCTCAAGAAAGCTCTGCTCTCATAATACTCGTTTCTTGTCATTCAAATGGTCTGCTCTATGTTGACTTGTTTTCCTGCTGGGAACTCCTTATGACCTTCGATGTTTCTTTCCTCAGCCTCATTATCTTTGCCCAGATATGGGGATATTTGGATAATTTGCCCTCTAGGATGGGTTAGATAAAAACTTATGGAGTCATCTGAGTTCTTTGTGAAAGATATTATAGAAACAACAGCTCTGACTTCCTCAGTAGCCCTAGCTCCAGCTTTTGGTTTTACTAACCATTCATTCACTCACTCTTTCATTCATTCAACCAATAAGTATTGAGAGCCTCCACTGGGCCCAGCTGTGTGAGATGCTGGAGGGCCTCTGTATGGTTCTGTTATACGGAAAGACAGAATGTTTCCTGATGACAAAATTAAGTTTCAGTAAAATGCCAAATTAGTGGTAACTGAGGCCAGTGAAACCATTGATCTGGGAGGCCTTCCAGGAGGTGGCAGGCATAGGTTTTGGCCTTTGAGGGTGGGGAGGCTGTTGATGGGGAGAAAGGGCCAGGAGGGCACTATAAGGCAAGAGCTGCTGTCTGAATAAAGACCCAGAGGTGACAGCTAGTGTGGTGTGTTAATATGTTAATTAGAAGTCTATTGTCTGTTGCTATTAGAGTGGGACCCATGAGTAACTGAGCTATGGCTAAAACCTATGTTCTTTTTTCTCCTCCCAGAATATCACAAGTCCTGAAACCGAAAGTCCAGATTAAAAGCTAAGCTTTTAACTCAAGTTTCCTTGAACTACCTGAGCAATTGTAAGCTTTAGCCGGGACTCTCTGAAGATGCTTCATAATATCCCAATCCAGAGCTTCACAGGCATGAATGAAGACAAGTATGGATGGCCATCTGTGTCCATGTGCCCTTGTGGGCTTACGGGGACTGAGATACACAAAGCCCTCTTCCACTTAGCAGGAGGCAGAGGCCATGTCGGGGAAAGAAAAGCATTGTACTGGGAGTTAGGAGACCAGAGCTCCACCTCCTGACCTGCCCCAAACTTGCTGCAAGACCCTGGACTTGTCACCTTCTCCACACCTTGGATTCTGGGCAAAAACTATGTGACCCATCAGACCTCTTTGGACTCTATCATGCTGAAGTCTCCCTAAATGGCGGGGGGGGGGGGGGGGAGTCAGGCTTTCACTCAGTGGCTAAATACACCCCACTGAGTTGGAGGCAGTCCTTAAGTCTTCACTGAATGAATGATCAGACAAATGAGTATGAGAGCTCCTGAGATCCAGATGCTTCTACCAGGCATTCCTTGGGAGGCTGTGGTCCTTAACTGGGATTGTGCAACCGGTAGTTCTATCTCCAAATTGGGGGCTGGGGTCAAGGCCTTCACATTCTGGGGCCAACCCTAGTATGGACTTAGGTACCCTTATTTTTTACTATCATGTATTTTCCTGACCCTTAGGGGCTAAAATGATACCTACTATCATGTGAAAAGCTGGCTGGCATTTTCTAGATGTCAATTTCAAGTGAGCCTTAGTTTTCTATATAAATTTTTGTTTAATCTCCCACCAGAATACCCACATGCATTTAGCCAGATGTGCATCCATGTGCAACAAGCAATTTATTCAGTTGACCAACAGTGATTACCAATATCCACATGGATGTGCAGACACCTCTCAGGAAGTCTACAGGCCTCAGATAGAGAAGACCTGTGAATTGGGGATCCTCGGTCTCTCAGAATCCTTCCAGTGCTGAGATACTATAATTCTATGTCCAGAGAAGTGAAGCTAATGTCTTGCACTTCTCCCATCTCATGAGGGTTTGTCAAGAGTCAGTGAGAAAATGAATATGGAGAGTTCTGAAAATTACATGGTGCTAGGTTCATGTATGTTGTTATTCTTATTACAGATACAACTGGGTAGTTTTCAGGAAATAGGGAAGGGCTTTAAGATGGATTGCCAGGGATGGTTGCATGGGTGTGCACTGCTCAAGAGTACCATACCCCAGGAAATGCTATTCACTTCCTAGACATTGTAGATTTATAGATTTATGATAATAGTTTTCTACCTGATGGCAGAAAAGTGTCTTGAGAAAGGGACTCCCTTTTGTTTTTGCACAAAGGTGAGGTGTAGGCTGTTAGAGGCTCTGCCTTCTACAAAGCTGAATAGTTTGAACAGCTTGGCTCAGATGGGCAATTTGCACACGTCCCTGCATGCCCAACAGGGCTATAAACATAGCCATTGGACATTGCCCGGAACACATGACCATGGGGGAGACAGTGTTAAAATCTAGACTCATTCTTATTACCCTTATAGTGGACACTGCATTGTTGTGTTGAGCCCATGGTGATCACTGTAGGGTAGGTCTGGAGAGGGAGTAAAACCAAGGGTGGTGAGGCCTTGGGCACTTAGACAGGACTGGCCTCAAACTGGAGGCAAAGTTTTAGGAAGTTCAACAAAGCATATTCTGAAGTCATCTTGTTTTATTCTTAGCCGATCCTAAGAATTTGGGGAGAGATGAGCTATTTATGGATTTATTTTAGTGTCAAGAACACAACCCCTAAATGTAAAGGGGCAGAATCAGTTCTGAAATGAGGGTCAGGAACCTTCTGTACATAATTTCTTATTTGGGATGATGTCCTTTCAGTTGTAGGAGTATTTGGTATGAGTTCCTGATGCTGGCATCTGAGTCTCATTTTTGTACTGTGTTATTTAAGCAAATAAAGACATTGCCTTGACAAAGGTCTAATCTGGATTATTCACGATGGTGGCAGGGTGTGAGGGCACCTGCCACATCTAGGCCAGTCTGGTGCCTGCAAGGCTGTGAGGGTCAGCCTCCCTGTCCCCAGCTGGGGGTCCCTCTCCAGCTGCTACCCGAGGGTCCCATCCTTGGGCTCCAACTTGGTAAGACAGTGGTGGAGTGCCCTGAGCATCAGGAGACCTGGGTTTTAGTCTAACTCCCCACAGGCTGAGGTCCTCAGGGACATGAGACTTGCCTCTGGACCTGACATTCTACAGCTCTGTGCCTGCCAAGATGACAGTCCAAGAATATCCGGGCCAGTCTTGATTCTACATCATCTGTTTTAGTAAGTCCCTAATGTTGGTGCCCAAACTCTAACTCAGAACCAGGGTAAAAATGGACAGGATACAGTGTCTGGGTTTTGGTCCAGAGAATATGGTCTCTGCTGAAAGGCATCGAAGACCTCCTCTCCCCTTTCTCAAGGAATGCATGAATTCTTCCAGTGGCTTCCTGGGGAAGGCGTCCCTCTGGTGTACAGATTCTTTCCCAACCACATTTCCACTCCCCAACCTTGAAGGCTCCCTGTAATGATCTGAGGAGGGCAGAAGAGGGCAGCACATCACTTCATAGACAAGGAAGCAGGGGCTCAGAATGGGCAGACGCCTTGTTCAAGGTCACGCGGCCCCCTACAGACAGAACCAGGACAGGATCCAGCTCCCAGAACCCCTGTTTTAGTGCCTCCGGGTACTGTCTCATTCAGTAGTTCATTTACTCAACCAATATTTATTGAGCATTTACTACGTGCCAGATCTGACCTAGCTCTGTGGAATACACAAATGCAAAAGGCACAACCTCTGCCCTCAGGTTGTTCACAGACCTTACTCATTATGGGACTTTAGTGCCAATAAGAATATAGGGTGGCAGGGACACCACTGTGTGAGGGCGGGGTTCCCTTAACTCACCCCGCTGAGG